TTCAAACCAGAGCAAGATCTCAGTTTCGTCTGGTATGTATTTTTACAGAAACTTGAAAACAAGACTGATTGTAATCTCACTTTCCATAGCAAAAATATGAAGGGCAAATATAGTACACCAAATATTTCCCAGTTAAGATCAGCTTGTTCCTCACCAAGAATCAAACCTAAAGTCCATTCACCCGTTTGCTTAGTTTTAGACCAAGTGGCTCTTTCACTCCTAAGGCCTTTGGGACCAATCGTCAAAACTATGAAAAATAATATTCATTTTTTTGGTCATGGACAGTTCTTATTTCCAACAGTTTCTCCAGAGTTTTTGAAGTTACAGGCAAACACACCTTGGAACTTACTGGCAATTCGTTCAAATGGATAACAATTTAATTCTGATCCTTTATGGGTTGACGAATCAAATTGTAGGTGAATGCACTGATTTAAAAATAACAGTTTGAGGAGGTTCATTTGATTTCACAAAGCCCCTAAAATCTACTACACAAATGGTTTTAGCAGAGCAATGGGAGCTTCTCGTTGGTGCTAGTTTCAGAGCTGAATGCTCTGATTGTCTCAGCCAACAAGCCAATTTGATGAGCTTTGCTGAAATATTTCATCAAGAACGTTGTTCCCTTCCCATCAGATAAAGTTTGCCTTTCGTCCAAAGTCACATCAGTGCCGCCTATAACTGAGCAGAAGGCTTAGGCAGGCATAGGGAAAGCATGTAGGCAAGGTTTTGAAAAAAAAAATTGTTCAAAAAGGTTCGAGCCTGCCAGTACATCAAGATTATTCTTCCACAATTCTTTCAGCGCAACAAAAATGAATCAGCTGAACTCACATTAATTTCTAATCATTCATAAAATCATTTTGATGGAGGATTATGGAAATTGGACATTTTTAATCAATTTAATATTTTCCCCACAGTTTTCTCTAATTGAATTACTTACACTGACCCCACACATGGAGGCCATTGAGACAATACTCCAGAATTGTTTCTCAAGTGCTTAGGGATGTACTGAAGTCATTGGTTCATAGAAAAGCAAGCCTTATATTTAAAAAAAATGCATAAGGGTTTAATTACATAGAATATACAACACTGAAGACGCCATTCAGGAAAATTTATGCTCCATTTGAGTCTCCTCCCATTCATCCTCGTTTCACTTCATGAGAACCTTCTATTGCCTCCTTCCTTAAATGCCTCTATTTTTTCCCTCCATCACTCCCCGTGGCAGTAAACTTTCAATTTTCACCACACTAAATAAATTTCTTATGAATTTCCATTGTAATTCTTGGTGACTATTTTACATTGATGATCTCTACTTTTGAGCTATTGTACAACTGGGAACACACACTTTGCATGTTATTCAAAACTTCAGTTATTTTGAACATTTCCATCAAGTTGTGTTACGAGGTAATTCAAAAGAAAAAAAGATCCAGTTCATCTTTCCAGATAATCTCTCAGTTCTGCATCATGCTTGAAAATTTTTACCTCCACCTCATCTACTATCATTATTCTCCGTTCATAATGCAGCAACCAGTATTGTATGCAGTACTTCATCCAAATGTGGTACAACCAAGGCTCAAATTCAAATTTAGGATTCATTCTAGACTATTCAATATCACCCTTCTTTAAATAAACCCTAGTACTTTGATGAGTTGTTATGGTCTTACTGGATTTCATCAGTATTTTTAGTAGTTTATATCCCAGATCACTTATCCAGGCTACACTTATCCAGGCAACTGAGGTGTATTTCATCACATTCCTGACTTGTGTCTTTGGTCGACAGATCTGGGGAGTCAGGGAATGAGTTATTTGTTTCAGGATGACTAGCCTTTGACCTGTTCTTGTAGCCACAGCAGTTATATGGCTGATCCATTTCAGTTTCTGACAGGTGGTAAACACCAGAATGTTGATAGTGGGAGATTCAGTAATAGTATTGCCATTAAATGTCAAATGCTGACAGCCGGACTCTTTCCTGTCAGAGACTGTCATTTCCTGGCACATGTACAGTGTGAATGATAGTTGCCACTTGTCAATTCAAACACAAATGCTGTCCAGGTCTTGCTGTTCTTGGGCATGTATCTGGGGAGTTGCAAATGGCGAAAATTGTGCAATCATCAATGGGTGGTACGGTGGTTCAGTGGTTAGCACTGTTGCCTCACAGTACCAGGCACTCAGGTTCAATTCCAGCCTTAGGTGATTGCGCAAACTCCACACAAACATTCTCCATATCTGTGTAGGTTTCCTCCCATAGACCAAAGATGTGCCGATTAGGTGGATTGACATGCTCAATTGGCCATAGTGTCCAGAGATGTGTAGACTAGGTGGATTAGCCATGGTAAATGTGGAGTTACGGCAATAGGGTAGGGGGCTGGATTTGGGTGGAATGCTCTTTGGAGTACTGGTGCAGATTCTATGGGCTGAGAAGCCTCTTTCTGTACTGTAGGGATTCTATGGTTCTATTGGTGAACATTCCCACTTTTGCTGGAAGGTCATTGGTGAAGCAGCTGAAGATAGTTGTGCCTGAAGAATGGAGGGGCTGTCGTAATGCAATAGTACCCCTACCTTTGAGCCAGGAGACCTCTGTTCAAGTCCCACCTGCTCCAGACGTGTGTCATAAGATCTCTAAGCAGGATGATTATAAAATACCTATCCTGAAGAATGTCTGCAGTGATGCCCCATGGCCAAGATTATTGACCTCTGGCATCCAAAGCCATCTTTCTTTGTCCTCGATATGACTATAACCAGCAGTGTGTTTCCCCCTTGATTTTTGGAATGTCCCTTATAGGTTTAATACACATTAGAAAGAAAATTGACATATATTTCCTTATCTGCTTTATCTATCTCTTCTTTCCAATTAGATTTTGGGGAGATGAAATAACCTGTGTTGGTTACATTTTTCCCAAATTTATTTATATATTTCTTCTGCCCTTTTTTCCCTTATTCATTATCCATAGATGACCACCATTTGTGTGATTGATTCTTGTTTATCTATCACCTTTATGCACACGTATTTGCTTTCTTTCTCTCTGATGGCTAATAATACCTTTCCCTACTACAACTATTATCACTAATATGTTCAACCACTTCATTTCTCCTTTTCTCTGTCTAAACTCTCTATACATGCACACCTAGATAACAGGACTAGAGAATATCCTCAAATATGCACTGGACAGAAATGAATGTTGATCAAACCAGGAGCAGAAGACTTCATCAGCTTGTCAACCTTCCTGAGTACAGAGATTGATCACAGCACAACAAATTCAACACCAACCTAAACCCTTTAAATCAGCGGTGTGCTGGAACCTAGGTCGGGCTATTTTTACTTTGATCAGTGCACTCATTTTATAATCAATGGAATTTCTGATTGTAAATTAGTAAAGGTCGAAGCAGGCATAAGGGGATTTAAAAAATATATAAATCACCCCCTACATATACATTTGTAAAAATCAAATTTTATTTACTACTGTGATCTAATTCAGCTTATACTTCAAACAAATTTGGAGACTAGAATTCCTATTATCGTTGCTTTGGTAATTTCTATCTGATAGAATAAAGCATAATAATCTGATTTCCAATGGTTGTTTTACTAAATACAACATACAGGTACAAAGTCAAAATCACCAAAACCAATCAAAGTTATTCACATTTTGGCACTGCTTTCTACCATTAGCTGTAGCTCTAATCATTTCACAACTTACTGAAGAGTTTATGAGCCACATTACATTGCAAGATAACTATTCGGAAAAGAGATGAGTGCGAGCACTTAGTCACGTCACAAAACTGAAAAGTGCTCCGGAAACTCAGTACATACTCGGAGGTGATTTTCTCTCCACATACGCCATCAGACCTGCTAAGCTTCTCTAGCACTTTATTTTTAATATCTAAACATAAAGCCAGAAGAGACACTCTTTGCTACATTTAAAATTGTGGCCCCTGCTGTGACTACTGTTTACCCTAAAATCACCCTCAATATTCTCTGATGGTGAGACGACGACCCAGCAGATGCCTGTGATGTTCTAGCCCAATGTTATGAGGCTAGAAATCAAATCACAGGTGGACCTCGGACTAAAGCATTCTGATACAAAACATTGTGGAAAATGTAGGGAACAATTTTGCAGAAATAGATGATAACTTTTAGGATGTTTCCTAGAATAACCTATGGGGGGGGGGGGGGGGGGGGGGGGGGGGGGGGGGGGGGGGGGGGGG